TTTTTTTTGGGTAGATTGAATTGCATCATGTTTACAAGAAAAAACAATGAATGCTCACTACCTAAACCTCTTGATAGCATTCTTTCCAATGCAGAGATAGGGTTTTCTACAACAGTGAGCATGTGCCAATGAGGGATGCCTAAGGAACTACTTTAATGTCAGTACCGGTACAACAGTAAATGCAGTGTGATAATATGTGTTCTCATAATGTTACTTTCACGTTATCAAAAATCTAATAATAATAATGACAATAATAAAATTTATTTTTATCCCGCCCCTCTGCAGACGCAACCGGAGTGGCTGACAGCATTAGAAATATAAAATACAATATAAATCCCATAAACCCACCCACCCCTTAAAGTAGTATTGAACAATAGAACTATTAAAACATACTAAAAGAAGTGCATCACAATAACACAAACAATAATGCGGTAACACCCATTCCCATATCGTTACATTCCAGGGACTCAGTGGGAATGTTACAAGACACTTTTATTGTGATGCTGGATGGCTTTTCACATTTATGTCCTTCTGTGTCACCCGATGTTCCCGCTGCAGTGGGAAATCACTCACTGAGGTCAGAACAAGGTGCCAAGCCATGAGACACTGGGCAACTAATTCTGACCTCAATGTGAGCAACCCACTCTCATAGCGGGCACAGATGACAACAAAGCAGGATATACATGCAAACAGCCATGTAGACAAGTCACCTGGTGTTGCAATAGAGGGCCCAGGAAACAGGGGGAGTTTAGGGCAGCTCCAGAGCCAGAATACTCCAGGCTGCTTCTGGAGTATTTTGGCCAGTGTAGACACCACCAAACACTCTGAAGCAAACATCAGTGTCATGTGGTAAATGGAGAGGTCCACCTGCCTTGAATCTCATAGTGGGAGAAAGGCTGGATATAAATCCTGGAAATAAGAAATAAATAAATGAAATAGACTGGTTAACTTGTTAAAGAACAGAGAACAAAGAATAGAAATAAATACTGTAGCTAGCTATTATAAGGGGGCGAATAAACAGTGGAATCCTCCAAAGATCTGCACTGGGATCAATGTGTGGTTGTTTTGTTTTGTTTTTAATTTGGTTATCCAGAAGTACTGAACATCCAGTTCTTTTTGTACTTGCATACCAAGAAGATTTGCATCCAGTCTCCTTCTTGAAAGCTCACTGGGTTCTTTCTCTTACACTTTCCTTCCTGCCCTTTCTTCCTTCCCACTGATCACATGTCACATGTTTCATCCATTTCCACTGAACCTTAGATTATTATTACTCAGGAGTTATAGTCAAAGAACTAAAGTGCTTGATCAATACTACACTAGTTGAGCATTGGGATCATTTTCTTTTAGTGCTAAGATTCCTCTTTCTCTAACTTTGTTGAATCTGTGTCCTGGAAACAATAGCTGTGTTTACTTGGTCGAGACCATCTTTGCTGCTTCCAAGACAGTAGAAAAGCATAGGCATGCACAGATAAGTTTCATTTCAGAAATCTGCATCTGATGAAATGGATCAAGGCTACAAAATATTATACTAGAAATGTCTTCCTCCTAGTTTCCCAATCAAAGGTGCAACTGGGTTCCTTTATTTCATTTTAAGATAAAAGAATGTACAGTCAGCCCTCCATGTCCACAAATACTTTATCTGCGGATTCAGCCATCCACAGCTTGAAAGTGTTCAAAGAAATATAAATTCCAAAAAAGCAAACCTTGGTTTTGCCATTTTATATAAGGAACGCCATTTTACTATGCCATTATATGAAATGGGACATGAGCATCCACTGAATATTGTACCCACTGGGGGTCCTGGAAGCAAACCCCAGTTGAAACCAAGGTTCCACTGTATTCCTTTACACAATGAATAGCCAAACTGTGCAATTTGCTTCTGCAGGATGTAGTGATGAACCCCAACTTGAATGCCTTTAAAATGTAATTTGGCAAATTTATGGAAAACAAAGCTATTAATGGCTCCTAGTCATGGTGCTGCATATTACAGCTAGTATTGGAGAGGCAGTATCCCTCTATATACCAATTTGTGGAGGGCACCAACAGGGAGGTGCCCTTATTCTCATGTCTTGCCAGTGGGCTTCTCAGCAGTGACTGTTTATCCACTATGTGGATAGAATGCTGGGCTAGATGGTCCTGTGGTCTCATACAGTATAGCTCTTCTTTCATTCTTAACCCCTCTACCAGTCAAGGGGTGGTTTTCTAAATTGAAGCTAAAAGTACAAGGAGACCTAGATAAAGCTCTTCTTTGCCTTTGTCACCAACTGACAGGATGATGCCTGGAGTATGGTTGCTGGCATGACAGTTGATATAAAAAATGATGAATCGCTGGAGCAGTGAAGGGACAGACTGGAGGTTCTGTGTGGAAAGGACTGTCTCAGATCAACTGGGAATTTATCACCCAAGGATAACTTTAGTAGAAGCAACTGGATTTTAATACAGAGACAGACTGAGGGCCAAGCCTGTGTCATCCAAGACATAATCACTAATGCTGTTAAAGATGTATTGCTTAATTAGACAAAGTGGAAAGAAAGCAGTGTTACAGCCTAGATCATCCCAGATGGGATAATCATTGTTTGGTATTGGGACAGTTAGTTACAGCAAGTAAACCTGTCTCCACCTCAGTCAAAGTGATCTAGAACAAAGACCCCAGATCCATGTGCACTTAGGGGCTATACAGACAGCCCCTAAAGGGTGGTGTCTTGCTGCCACTTTTCTTGCTGAATCGGGGCTGCAGTAACCACACCCCGCGGCCCCTATCTGGCATTTTGCTGCTCTAAAAAGAGCTGGCAAATGCTGCTCCTTTCTGGAGTGGCAAAAGCTGGTCTTGCTGCCATGGCTGCAGCTTTTCCGTGCTCCTTTGGTGCAGTGTGTCTGAACGCTGAGCCAAGGGAGCACCCTGATGCCACTCACCTTGTGGTGGGGTGCACAGCATGACGGCAGTATCGGGGCAGCTGGTGTGTGGTCGCCATGCCCCGACTCCACACCCAGGCTGTATTCCCCCTTACTTGAATAGATAGATAGATGGGGGGATAATATTTATACCCCTATACCTTGCTCTTCAGCCACAAATGCTACCAGAGCAGTTTACAAATTGTTAATTTGACAGTCCCCTGACCTCAGGCTTACAATCTAAATAAACTCCAATTGCATTTGTATCTAAGTCACTGTGAGTAGAATCAGGCAGCAAGTCCCACCAAAAGCATCTGGATTTCCATTAAGCTATACCGTATTATAAAGAACTTAATCCACTGGTTTCAACAAGGCATAGTCATAACTGACCATACAGTGAAACACAAACATGTTTACTCAGATTAAGTCCCATGCAACTCAGTTAAGTTTATGCCCAAACATGTATGCATGAAGTGGCATCTCAAATCACCTCCAAAACCTGTTGGAACCACAGTTAGAGTTGCTGGACCAGCAATTTGCTGATTCTCCAATTCAAATTTGCCCTTCTCCAACAAGATGCAGCTACAAATTACAAAAGGGAAAATAGAGACATTAGAGATAATGATGACGATGACAATGACAATTATGATTTATATTATGAATACCATTTGTCATATTATTATTTGCTGCTATTTATATTTATCACTAACTATTATTAATCATATCAGCAATTGTTAGTATCTTACTTTTCCCCCATAACTGGGATTCAAGGTAGCTTACAAAAATTAGAATAGAGACGACGACGACGACAATGATGATCTGCCTCTTTCCCAGAACTGGACAAGATGGTTTTCAAAAAATAAAACAGATATCATCATCATCATCCTACCTTTTCCTAAACAGTGAGACTCAAGGTGACTCACAACATTTAAAACAGATAAAACACTTACAGTTACAGCCAGTTGCTAAAACACAGCATTTGGAGGAATTACACTGGGGAATCAGTGCAAAGGCAAAACATTAAAAAATATTTCAATTCAATTCAATTCAATTCAATTCAATTCAATTTATTCAGTCCTTGACCAGTATACAAATATAAAATATATAAAATATGAAAAATGTCTAAAATGTAACATAGAATATAAAATATAATATAAGGAAAAGTATATGTATATATACATAAGTATAGGAACCAACAGACCAATGGACAACTAAAATACACTGTATAAATACAATGACCAACCAAACTTTCTACACACTTGTGGGATGTCCATTTATCGATTTGTCAGTTGAGGCCGCAATTTACAAACAATGTAACAGAATTTGGCCACCCTGTGAGATATTGTTAGGTCATTGTTATCTAGTAGGAGGCGTACATAAAAAGTATCAGATTTACCTGGGCAAAAACGAAATTCAAAAGGTATTTTTTTGAATCTGCCTTCCAG